TCCCGATTAATAAGCGTTATAACAATCACAGTTATAGCTTCCGAAGTTTATAGCACACCACCTATATCAAATGAATAATAAATACTGTTTTTAGGTGCGGCGCGTTGGTTATACTTATAGGCGTGTTGAGAGTTTCTCGAAATTTCAGGTTATGCAACAATACAAACGCTACACTAGCGATTACGTACACACGTATATTGTTGATTCTTACACTCAAGAATCTTCTACAACTTTAAAGAATAGGCGGGAATTTCGTAATACATATTTAACAGTATAAGTTATGTATATTTCTACATATAAATATAATTTAAACAAACATCGATATTAAAATAATATATAATAGTAAATCCTTCACAAGTATGTTAAGGCTTGTACACATAACGGGGTTCATATATACTTTGTAATTGAGTATGTTACGCCTGCTACACAAAGGTGTTCATATGGGCCTTGCAATTCAATATGTTTTGGCTGCTACACATAACGGTGTTAATAAGGGCGTTGTGGCTTAATGTGTTTCGTCTGCTATAAGTAATGTTTCAACCCTCCAATTACCGACTTGTTTATGTATCATTCAATATCTGTGGGGCCTACATATAGCATAATATTGAGTAATTTTAAGTTTTTGACTGTTACAACATTCAGTGTAAAGAACTGACCAAAACTGGATGAAACCCATCAGTAATTAGTGGTTCGATGTGGACCCCATTGCCAATTCTAGGGCTAACTTAGATATTGAAGTTCTTTCACAAAGCTTGATTTTTCAATCATAGTATTGAATGAAATATATTGTTGTAGTTTTGTACTATGATCAAAATCTCACTAGAAATTGTTCATAAAATGTTACATCTGAAAAGCTATAGCATGCCAGTTAAAAAACAGATCTATTACTAATCTCACTATGAGCTATAATTGGACTATAAAGTGTAATCGATATAATAATCCATAAAACTAGACTCTAACTATTTATCAATATTCACTAAAACACTATACAAATATGTGTATTATTAAATTTTGCATGATTAACTGAAACCTATAGTTAGCATTAAAACTATTCTTTGAACCAATATATCTGTGGACTATTATTTCTATTTTTGCAAGTTATTAATAATGAATATAAGTAAAATTTATTTCTTTAAAGTATCGTTTTGAATTTACTTACTGATGGAATATATTTTATTACAAGTTATAGCTTTTACAGTAAGTAAGATTGGTTATTAGAACAGGTACGACTTTTCGATCACTGGTGCGATCATTATCAAGTGTACTTGAGAATGATAGCACCAATGATCGAAACGTCGTACCTGTTCTAAAAACCAATCTTACTTATTGTAAAAGCAGTAACTTGTAATATACTATTTCTTTAAAGTTTTGTTAACATTTTAAAAATATTAATTTTGAGCTTAATATACATATCGATTATCACAGTAGTTCCTTCTTTATGATACACCAAACTGAGTTTTAATAGCTTCACTACTTGTGAGAGTACCATCAATTCAATAAACTGAAGAGCTTAACCTGATAAGGTCCTCTGTAAGTCTACGGACTTACAACGCTAAAATTTGTGGTTCGATTCCCTCGCGGTGCACAGCGCGCAGATAACCTATTGTGTAGCTTTGTGCTAAAACAAACAATCAAAATTTAATCTGATGACAGCATAACAAACACAAGTAGTATTAATCAAACCAGTCGGAACCCACACTGAGATTTGCAACTTTTTTTTCATATAGAAATACACAAACTAGTTGAAAGACTCATTCTACGCCAGCAATAATTTGGAGGATTATTCTCGTAAACCCACCCATTTCTCTTTACTGCCAAGTTTTAGAAATGCCATTTCAAATGCTCATCGTTTCAGATAATCATTTTAGATTAAAGTAAGTAACCTACTTATTTACCTGTCCAAACATGGTCTCCCAGCATAGTTTCCTAAGCTGTTCTCTAGTAGATTCATCGCTATGAAGAATAAGTTGAACGATATCTTGTTCTTTACTACATTCACTACCCAGACACTCAGCAGTTGTTGTTGGCACTTCATTTCTAAGTGTTGAGCCTTTAGTGACGTCAGATAAGCATTCTAAGCCGTCGCAGCTTGATAAGGTGGATGCATTAGCGAAGATAAGATCTGTTGTAGATGAGCTGGTTGTAGACTCTTCATCACTATCGTAGGAAACTATTGGTGTTTTACTAGTAGTCGTCACTAGAGGATCTACCTCGAAAGGCCACGTGGATGACATAAAGACGTCGTTTTCTGACATTTTTTTTATGCCTTCAATGCATTTTGATATAAAAATAACGCAATTGTATATAGAATCGTTTATCTTACTATCTATTTCTTGAATGTGATTAGCTAACCAATTTTGTAATGATTTATTCAGGATTAATGAGTAGGTGTCATTGTGTACATCGCTGATATTGGCGAAAGGCGTTTTAAGAATTCTATTCAAGACATCATCTCTGAACGAATCTGTCTGAGTTGTATTATTGTTTTTTACCAAAGTAGCATCATTTGAAAAATTAATATCTGTATAGTTCCAAACATTCAGCCACTCGACAGCGTCATTATCCTCTTCTATTCCAGAGAAATTATAAAAACCGTTCTTGTTTATCAATCCATCTTTACTTTCGTTTGTTCCATTTAAGCCTAATTTTTTTTCTGCTGCTACGTTTCGAATCCAGGACAGAATAATAGTTGTACAGTTCAATAACAAAGTAAAGTTACAGGCTGTTGTTTTAGGCTGAGCGCTGTCGTTTTCTGCGTGTAATAATTGAAGATTTAAGCTAATAGGCGTGTGGTAAGGTTCAACCATCGTAGTATTCAATGTTTGGTAAAACTCGCTCGATGGGAAAACTGTCGATAAAAATGTCTTCTGTTCCAGCAGTGTAGAAATATTTGTCTTCAACTCAAACAGTGCTGTCGTCTGTGAAAATCGGAAGTTTCAAACAGTACATATGACCATCACATAATGTTTTTATACAATTAAATCCATTATAGTTATGGAATTTTAAAGTTATTTTAGTTAATTTAGTTGTGTGAATAATATTATGTTATTGCGCCTAATTTATTATTCGGTATTGTACGACGAACCAGCTGTTTAATGATTATGTCACACGTTGTTTTTCGTATCATCAAATATATTTCTTTGTTTTGTTGATCCAAACTATGCTTAAGAGCCTTGAAAATTGCAGTGTGGCGAATCAAGGAATGCATTAGGCCTCTACGTCACATATTATATTTTCAATTTTACCTTTGGTGAAATGAAAGGAAATCTATAATATAACAATTAAAACTATTATAACGTGAGGCTGGTTAATTAGTTTATTCAAGTCTAAACGAGTTTGCTTGATATCATCTATTAGCATTTCTGATCATTACTGGTGAAATTTCTTCTAGTTGTGTATTTACTGCAAAAAACGAAATAAACATTTACTGAAAGAACGTGCTTGTAACTAAATGTTACTGTTTTTATTCAAATGTTGATACAATTTCCTTACGTAGAACAAAAAAAAAGCATTATTATACAAACCCATTAGCGTTGAAAGTTACTTTCCCCATTTCCTATTAACATTTTATTTGTCTATTTGCTATTAATTATTTTCAGTATTGAAGCAAAAAAAAAAATGTTACAACGTTTGGGTTTATAAAATCTTGAGCCATATTTCTTATTTTAATATCATTATATCAAGGGCAAATATCCATAGATATTCTACTGTTTCGGGTTTATTCACATTTTTTTATAAATTACAATCTTAATTTATCTTTTCTTCTGTTATTTTTACAAAAATAATCTTGCAATAAAAAAAAAAGTAAGTTATTTTGTGTGTTCACGTTTCCGTTACAGAAGATTGTTTTGCAGAAGATTTATAAGTAAGTTATTGTTCACTAAAATGTTTTAGCCAAGATCGATTAGAAATTTTTGGTCTTTCAATATTTTAATGTCGTTAAAATTTAACCAATCCTTAACATTTTATCCTTAGCCTTTTAAAAGCAGTTTATTTACTCTTTCTAATAATGATTGGACTTTCCTTTATAAGAATAACTCGGTTAAGTTTATTATTATCACTTATCGACTTGAAGTAGTCACAAAAATGCTTTTCTTTGAAGTTATCTCTCATAGAACTTTATTTGATGAAGTCATACCGAGATTTTAATGGTTAACTCAATAATGATAATCATTGTTTTCATTATGACAGTTTAAAATGTACCGAATTGTAGTATTGCATGAGTTTTATACTCAGTTGCAATCGTTACAGATATAAAAAACAACAAAATGATCAACTTTATAGATATTAAGTTTATAGTAAAATACTCATGAATTTGTAAGTTTGTGTATTTTTTTTTTCAGATAACAACTTGCTGCGAAACTCCAAGTTATATAAAAATGGAAGACAACAATATGCAATAATAATAAAAGAACAGAATATCGTGTATAGTAATTAGTTGACCACTTTTATCCTGCCAGAAGACAAACGTGAGACTGAAGAGGACGCACGAATGTGTCGAAACTAGTTTCTCTAATATCAGACTTCTGACAGTTTGTTCGGTTTACTGTGTGGTTTTTCACTAACGACAATATGCGTTTCAAGATGGAAGACAAAAGTATGCGTTTCTAAATCACAAGCTTAAAACTAGATTACAAATCTCTAAATGGATAGAACAATAGAATAAAAAGGGGGAAAATATCAGTACTAAATACTTTTGCCTCCATATAATATGTTTATACTCCATACATGCTTGCTTTATTAAAACAATGCATTATTGAAAACCTTAGGAAACATAAGAGATCAGCAAAATAAAGCTGCGTCGATATTTCTCACGTTATGAAAAATGTTTAAATTGTAATTCACATATTTGTCTTTCAATGAGTCTAACAATAAACTGAATAATTTTTACTTACCATTTTGTCCACTTTACCATAAAGAGCAAAAATCAAAGTGTACAGATTCAGTAAGTATAACATCAGGATTCTGTATAAAGAGACAAATAAAGTTAACATTCAAATACTATTTAGGAGAACAAAGTGATCTCTCCTTATTGATTAGTGTTAAATTACAATGGAATAATGTAAAAATAAACGTTTTCATTTAAGATAGGTGATATAAATAGACAGTACCTAAGTAGATAGGAGAAAAAAGTACGATAGTTATTAGAATAAATTCAAGTACACGTAATAAATAATTTCGTACATAAAATTAGAGAGTTCAGTAGCCATTTCAATTTTTTCCGATGCTACAGCCTTTAGTACCTATTTACGAAAATTATCAGTTTTTTAGTGTGTTGTTTTCGAAAATGCAAAACATTTTGGAATAAAAGAGACTATAGAAACACGTAAAATTTAAATTAAAACTTATATTTTTTTAGGAATTCTATTCGCTGAAAATTAAACTAATTTTCATACAGCCTATAAAAACAATGAAAATAATGCCGCGCGTGGCGCGGGTACCTTTGATGGCGTTTAATAATAACCGAGAAAAAATTGTGTTGTTGAGGCAGTTAACACATAAATATAACAATAATTGTATGAAGAGAAACAGCCAATACCCAGTGAAAATCATTTATTTCCTCAACGTTTCAACTTATGGCTATATCGTCTCCCGGTGAGACAGCTGTACCGACTTACAAAGCTAAAATCCAGGGTTCGATTTCCCGCGGTGGACACAGCAGATAGCCCAATGTGGTTTTGTTCTAAAACAAACAAATAAATACGACTGTATCAAGAATAGACACCGTAATAACACAAGCCGAGTCTTAACTGAATAAACAGCTGATGTAATTCAAAATATTATCAACGCGTTCTAATGTATCGTCTGACAATAATAAGAAGGTAACAATAACAAATGTCTGACGAGAACATAAGCACCTTGAAAAAATATTAATTTAAAAGCGAAAACAAAATGATGAGACATATAAACCTTCACATCTAATGAATATTTAGAGGTAAACCGTATATGTAGTTATAGTCACTCATACATACACACACACACACAATATATTATATATATGTATATACACACACTTTAGAAAAGAATAAAGCAGAAGGTACTAATACGTCCATATCTACATACAAAAAGTCACCATTTGAAGTCATTCTGTCCTTGGTAACTAAAGCCTTTTCATTGCACTTTCTGTCTAGGAAACTGTAGGCCAAGAACTCATTGCTATTTTAAATTACATCAGCCGTTTGTTCTGTTAAAATTGCAGTCTTGATAAAGCCGTAAGGTGAAACGTTGAGGAAATTAATGATTTTCACTGGGTACTGGCTGTTTCCCTTAATTAAACATGTTTATACTTCAGGGTACACTGTCTATCTCTATCCAAAACGACTTACCGAGCAAGCTGCCATCGAAGTTGTACACGTGGATGATATTGTTCCAACATTCCAATCAGTTCAAATAGATTGGGAAATACAATTGAGATGAAAGAAACGACGAACGTTACCTATAAACCAGAAACTCTAAACAGATAAACAAGTATTACATTTTTACATAACGTTCCTTACAACATATGTAATTTGCAAATCACATCTTAGTTGTTGAGTTACGTTATTCTGTAACGTTTTGGTCAGCAATCACAGGTTGTAATAACAGTTTTTGCAGCTTGTTGTTGTCAGTCTTTTAATGCTTATCCTGAGAATAATAGGTTTTGGTTATCGTTTTCTTATCCTGAGAGTAACAGATTTGGGGTATAATTTTCTTATCCCCGAGAATAACAGGTTTTGGGTATCGTTTTCTTATCCCGAGAATAACAGATTTGGGGTATCATTTTCTTATCCCCGAGAATAACAGGTTTTGGGTATCGTTTTCTTATCCCGAGAATAACAGGTTTTGGTGATCATTTTCTTATCCTGAGAATAACAGGTTTTGGGTATAATTTTCTTATCCTTGTGAATAACAGGTTTTAGTTATAATTTTCTTATCCTTGTGAAAAACAGGTTTTGGGTATCGTTTTCTTGATGGTGTCTTTAAGATGAGCACCATCAGTTATAATTAAAATTTGTATATTTAATGTCAGGTATCAGAAACTGTTACAAACGTATTCGAATGTTACGCATTTTAAAAGGCTTTCTTTAGGTTGAGTATCATAATATATCTTATCAGTTTTGTGACTTATGTTGAATATCATAATATATCTTATCAGTTTTGTAACTTATGTTGAGTATCATAGTACATCTAATCAGTTTTATAACTTATGTTGAGTATCATAGTGCATCTTATCAGTTTTGTAACTTATGTTGAGTATCACAATATATATTATCAGTTTTGTAACTTATGTTGAGTATCATAGAACATCTTGTCAGTTTTGTAGCTTATGTTGAGTATCACAATATATATTATCAGTTTTGTAACTTATGTTGAGTATCATAGAACATCTTGTCAGTTTTGTAACTTATGTTGAATATCACAGTATATCTTATCAGTTTTGTGACTTATGTTGAGTATCATAGTGCATCTTATCAGTTTTGTAACTTATGTTGAGTATCACAGTATATCTTATCAGCTTTGTAACTTGTGTTGAGTATCATAGTACATCTAATCAGTTTTGTAATTTACGTTGAGTATCATAGTACATCTTATCAATTTTGTAACTTATGTTGAGTATCACAGTATATCTTATCAGTTTTGTAACTTGTGTTGAGTATCACAGTATATCTTATCAGTTTTGTAACTTATGTTGAGTATCACAGAACATCTTGTCAGGTTTGTAACTTATGTTGAATATCACAGTATATCTTACCAGTTTTGTAACTTATGTTGAGTATCACAGTATATCTTATCAGTTTTGTAACTTGTGTTGAGTATCACAGTATATCTTATCAGCTTTGTAACTTGTGTTGAGTATCACAGTATATCTTATTAGTTTTGTAACTTGTGTTGAGTATCACAGTATATCTTATTAGTTTTGTAACTTGTGTTGAGTATACAGTATATCTTATCAGTTTTAAATTGAGTATCATAGGTTGCTATTACGAGTTTCTAAGTATTCCACACCAAAATATATTTTAACAGTATTAAAACTAATATGAGGTTTTGCATTACGTGTCAACAGGTTTTTCGATATTATTTTACATATGATGTTAGATTTAAGTGTTTTTCATGATGAGTTTTGCAGTTTTTAATATAAGTTAATTATCATAGAATGTCTAACTATATTTTGTTTTGGCTGTCACCTTTGACCTTAAGAGTTTTCACACAAGGGTCTATCTTTGCAACATTTGTACTTTACGTCGAGTTTCATTCAGTTCTTCTTTGTCACAGTACAAACGAACTATTATTGTACCTTGTTTTATGTCTCTCACTGTATTTCCTCTTGGATATCAGAAAATTTCTGTCAATTTTTATTTGTTGTACTGAATTTCACAGCACGTATTTTAAGTTATTGTATTTTATCTACGATAACACAGGATACTTTATCAGTTTTTGCGTCTCAGTTGTGTATTTACGTATGTTTAACAGCTTTTTTTAAAGTATGGTTTTGATCTTAACCACAGGTAGGATAACAATGTTCACACTGCATTTTAAAGGTGAGTTTTGTTTATAATATGATGAGAGTTGCCTTATTCACCATTGTAAAATAAAAGCAGTCTTAGAGTATCACAACATAAAGCAGTATTGATACATTTTTTTCTACGTTCTACATGTAGTTATGATACAACTACAATATTCTGAGATGGTCATTAATACGAAACGTTTCGTACGCGTAAAACGGCCAAAAGGAGAGAAACATAGCTATAAATACAAAATTCGCACCTCATTCTGTCTCCACCAACTGGACTCTGCTTCAGCTTCTTGAGATCGCTGGACAACCAACACGACAGCATAAGCACTGGACGCCAGCAGAATAATAACCATGAAGTTGGCGATAATTCGCAAGATTATCACCTTCCAACTATAACAGCAAAAATAAAATAATATAAATATACTCGAAGTTAATCACGGTGATATTTTGTAATAAAAGCACTGTTGCTGTGGAAGAAGTCGGTTTTATTATTTGTCATTAATTTAAACTTTTCTAACACATCGCACTTATGCACACTTAACTACATTGTATAGGGGCAACTCAGTAGAGAGCACATCTCCGCCACGCAGTGTTGATCATATTCGGTTTTCAAAAAAAATACGAAAATGTGTCCGTATGTCCGTCGTTATCAACGGACACTGATCATTTTTGGCAATGAGGAATAATATTAAACTTATGTCCACCAAGTTTCATCAAAATCCGATCATTTTTGACTGAGCTATAGAGCAGATATAGTGTAAAAAATTGGTTCCCATATTAACAGATAGGAATTGTTTGGATTTTTGTGACCTTGCTGTGGCCTTGGATTTTGACCCTCCAAAACTAGTCACTTCTTAGTTAGATCATAGTCCAAATGTATATTAAGTTTCGTCCAAAACCATTCAGATGTTTTCGAGAAATCTTGCTGACAAACACATGCACAGGGGTGAAAACATAACCTCCGTCCACCTTCGGTGTCGGAGGTAATAAACTGAAAAAAATTTTACTTCAAGCTATATATAAAATGTAAATACATATCTTTTTTACCTTGTTATTCATGTCAGTTTTTCAAATTATTTTTACACACACAAAAAAGTCTTTTTCTCGTGAAAAACATCTGAATTCAAACAAGTTTGACATTACGTTAACATTTACTTAAGCAGAGACTTTGCTGTAATAGTAGCTACTCATGTATTTAAGTTTATGTTTAGGCAAGTTAGATAGAAAGGTTTAGTTTTAAAAGATAAGCCAGAAAAGTTAAAGACAGTATTCATATGTTTCTAAGGTAAAATCTCATGTCCAGTAAATTGCATTAATTCATAACTGTGTTCATTTCTGGCGGTGTTTTCGGGTGTAATCCTAAAAACATATACTCGTGGAGTTTATCTAGGAAATTTTTGTTAGGCCTAAATGAGTCAATATGCTAAGCATCAATACAAATTAGTCATTCTATAAATATTTATGACTCATTAAATTATAAAGAAAGTTAGAATGTTTATTAACAGTTGTGCAATCGTAATTAATCTGTTGAACCAAAATAAAATGAGAACTTGGTAAGTGGAAAATAAATATTTGACTCACAAAACCCCGATATTTTAGTTAACATTCATGCGTTTGCAATAATGACTACAAAACAAAGTTTAGCTACTATTCTACATAATGAGGAAAAACGCAGCAGGGTGATCACATATTAAGGAAGTATACAGACAATGGCAATCTTTCAGGAGCATCACAAACTATATTTCTGTGAGTTTTATACTTGAAATGTATTATAACCCCCCCCCCCCCCCACACACACACACACTAACGTAAAGTACGTACGTAGTACGAACTAACTAAACTAAATTAACTTACGTTAGTAGTAAGTAAGTAGTTACGTTACGTTCCGTACCACCACGTACTTACTTTAACTTT